GGCAGAGACGGTTTTCACAGCTCGGCCGATGCCGGTGGCCACTCGGTTGCCGCCTGCACGCCGGGACACGTCGGACCTGGAGCCTCCTGCTTCTCACAGCAGCTCCTTCCCGTCCTCCTCCCCCTCAGCTGCCCCCACCGCAGCCCCGGGCTGCCAGCAGACCTCTGCCCTTTTTGGTTTTTAACAAAAAAAAGACCTTTTTTTTCCATTTTATTTTTTTTTTTCCTTTAACGAATGTTTACCAGGCCGTGTCACAACCCAGCGCCTCCGAGTGATGCTCCAGCCCCTTCCCCACGGCACTGGCCCACCAGCCACACAGGGGGCCAGGATGGATCGGGAAGGACCCGGAGCCAACGGGGAGGCTCTAATTGCACAAGAGGGGTGAGAGCACGGCCCGCAAACTCTCCTAGGAAATTTTGAAGGGGCGTTTAACCACCTGGATTTGAAGAGTTTGAGCCCTTCGTGGCCACTGCACGGCCGTGACGGAGCCCTGCGTCCGTCTGTCTGTCCCCGTGCTCCACGGTGGCCTCGAGGAACGGTCAAGACAACCGGCTGCCGCGTCCCCCAACCAGGCAGGAAAAACACTCTCCACCCCCACTGGGGACCCCCCCGGCTCCAGCCTTATCCCGGCCGAGGGGAAGCATCTCCCATCCATCCCCCGCCATTTACCAGACTCTGGATGAGCAAATCCGCTCTTTTTAAGGAGAGAATCAAGAGAAGAGGGGGGAGTGAAGAGCCCCCGCCATGCCCGACCTTCCTCTGCCGGAGGGTTCAATCCAACACAGCCCCACGCCGCTGCCGCACTCGCTTCTCCTCGGAAAACGTCCCCGGAGCTGCTCGCAGGGGATCGTGCTCCCGAGGGAAACGTTCCCAGCTGGCGAGCAGGGGAAGCCGGGGGAAGGACTGCGGTCTGACGAAGTGCTTTAATTGTTTTTTTGGGGGGGGTTGTTGCGGTTTAAGGCTCTTCTCGTGCTCCCGGCGGTCGCCTCCCTCTGTCGAAAGGTGTTTAAAGGGGTTGAAACCCCCTTTGCTGCTCTTGCCGCCTCGGCGAGCGGTTCCAACTGAGCCTTAAGCCTGGCAAAGCGGCTCTTCCCCACTCATCCCCTCCCTCCCCGCCGGGACCGAGCCCTGGGGACACTGTTCCCTTTTCCCGGGGCAGGGCGGAGGGGAAGGGACTGGTTTCCAAACTGGGGGGGTCTCGGTGCACGTTACCAGCCGGCGCCAATCCCGGCGGCAGCTTCCTCGCCCTCGGCCGGCACACAAGGGCTAAATTGGGGAGGAACAAAGCCTTATCCCTTGTTGGACGCTTCGCCAGCGATGTCCCCGCGTCCCTTCCCGGCGGGGAGCTGCCACCGTGCTGGTGCCGGTTTGGCCGTGGTGGTTTTGTTGTTGATTTTTTTTTTCAGCTCCCGCACAAACCGGAGCAACTCCGAGCTGCAAAACCGGAGCAAATGGTGACACTTGAATGGGTTAAAATCTTTATTTCCCCCCCCTTTTTTTTTTTTTATTTTCAACGGCCTCCGCGCTCCCTCCCCAGCTCTGCGTGCCGGCCCTCGGCCACCACAGCCAAGTCAGGACCCGCTGGTGCCGGGCTGGGGCTCGTTGGGTGAGCCCGGAGGCTCCGTCAACTGACAGAATGAATCCTAAGGCGCTGGTTAGGATGGGTGCTTTCACAATAAGCAAAGAACTAATAGGATTTATTCTATTTTTACAAAGATAACTATGCTGTTAATAGTGCAATGAAAGCGCATTTCTGCCTTTTCTTGGGGTTTTTTTTGTTATCGTCGTTGTTTGGTTTCGGGTTGGTTTACACATACTGACACTAACGCTGGTTCCGCGCTGGCTCCTGCTCGATTCGTCGCCGTGTAAGAAACCAACCGGCCCCTTCCCTCTCTGGTGCTACCGAGCTGCCGCGGGAGCCGTGGCGCTATGGCACCGCCGAAATCCAGGCGTCCCCCGGCTCCTTGTCCTATTTAAACAGTGACTCT